TATTGCTTCCATTTAATGATAAATCCCTCATGAGCAATTTTTTTGGTACATGTATGAAAATGAATATTCCTACTTTCTAACCTAGGCTTGAAACGTCGTTTGATGAAACGAAATCGCTTTCGAAAAGGAGCCAAATCGGCTTTCAAGACGGTATGTATTTGATTGGCACAAGTACCTTAAAATTGTGACATTTTTTAAGGCATTGAGGAACGGGTTGATTTTCCTTGTGTAGTTCATGAGACCAGATTGTGTGAGAAGAATTTGCGCAGGAGCGCTGACTCTCCTAATCGTCTGCTTGGCATCTGCCCACGTTAAAGATATTCTTTCAGAAGATGTCCTCGATTACACTGGGTACTACGATAATCTTGTAAGTTACTTTAACTTGTCTAATTTAGGTAGGCAAGTAAATTATAAAACACCTCGTGGAATGAAAGTGTCCACAAAATAAACACCAATGGAGAGAAGTGGTCCTAATGCACGAGAAGTTCCATGTCGCTTGTGTGTTGTTAGGCTCCAATGCCTCCTCCCCCCTCCCTCCCTCCCCCTCCCTCTCTCATCACTATCGGCATCGCCTCGAGAGCCAATAGGAAAACATAATTATATTTATACCAAATGGCAGGCGTTTTGATAGTTATCATTAGTCCTTTAGTTGACTTCAAGCTTCACAGAGAGGAGGAGGAACATCAAAGTGGAAAAAGTCGAGAGGGAGGGGGGGGGGACAGAAGAGTGTTTCAAAGATGTTAAATAGACAAACAGACGCAAAGGTAGAAAAAAGGCGAGGTGAGTACTGTGAAATTAGTCGAATATGAAATGCAGTGGGGTCTTGGTAGTTTGAAGTGAGAAGTCAACTGCCGGTAAATTGACTTTTTTCCGTATGAGTATATGTTGCCCAGGGTGCACCACGTGGAGGTTAGTCTATCACACACCCCTGAAAACATAATTATGAATTATTGTAAAGTGCTTCTCTTGAGGAAATTGCCATTTAGTTATTAATTATCTCTCTGTTATCATTGAACTGACCTCGCTATAACGCCAAGAATTTGTCTTTTAATCCATTCTACTTGGAATATCTGTTTGTAAATCGCAAAAGCTTTAGTTGTTTCATTTTTTTGTTGTTATTTTCGCGATTTCAGATGATGGATGTCCACCTACACGCTCGTTTCGTAAACCTCCATATCGTCAGTTCGGCTCGGCGTTTGACTCATCAAGAATTGGCAACCACTGAGGCTCATGCTGAGCATCGATATCAAGAAGCTCAATTTCTTCTCTATCATTGGACTGGTTGGCTTAGCCGCGTTGAGGCAGAGCAATGTCGCATACTGCTGACGTATAAGGTAAGCCTTATTAGTGTGTTGACCTTATCTCCATCTATTTAAGCATAGTTATTTTTCTCATCCTCCACAGCCTAATTGGATAGAGGAAGTTCGTTTTTCTTGTTGGATTCCTCAATTCTTTCTAGCCTTTTTGAGGTTGTATTTACTTGTTTTTATTTATTCTGTACATTATAGGAAACTGCCCGTGCTCTTCGCTCGAAGACAGAAGCTCTCTTGGGTGGTGGTGGTGGTGCTGGAAGCCAATTTTCTTCCCATCCTCCGTGGTCATCGTCTTCGTCTACCCTGGGAACTAATCCCGGTGGCTTCAACACTTCAACCTCCAGTGAGACATTTGTTCCACGTCATTGCCGTCTTACTCCAACTGAAAGGGAGGCGGAATTGAGACTTCAAAGAAAACTTGATCCTCCTCATTGTCCTGTCCATGTTATTACGCCAAAGCTCTTCCAAGGGTATGAAACTACTATTAACATTCATTTGGGGGAGGTGGGGGGCTGTTTTGACAAATCATCGCCCTTTTAGCTTTCACGATTTTTACCAATCTGCAAGGTATTTCATAGGTATTTCAATCTGCAAGGTATTTCAAGGTATTTCATAGGCTGAAAACGGAAGGGGGAGGGGAACTGCTTTTTATTACAAGCAAAGTTCATGGTCACCTAGTTATAATTAGAGGAGGGGGGGGGGGGGGGGGGGGGGGGGGGANGGGAGGGGGTTTACACGACCCCGTCTTCTATGGTTTTGCGTCAGTCGACGTAACAACAGAGGCGATGGAAATAACATTAGAAACATACATATGGAGATGATGTCCTATTGGTCAGTAAACGGCCATTAAAGTTTTAGATTGTGGCTTTACTACAGAGCATGCGAATAATATTATTACGTAATCGACTGTCACTATTTTGTGACTTTTCTAATTTTAGAGCTTATTGCTAGCATTGGGTTGAAAAATGTTTTAACCTTTACCATTTGATAAACGAGATCTGTCCTGATTTCTTGCGTGAAGTTTCTTGTATTTCCAAATCATTTATTTATTTATTTATTTCAAATGGCAGGCGTTTTGAAAATTATCATTGGCCCTTTAGCTGACTTCGTGCTTCAAGGAGAGGAGAAGGAACATCAAAGTGCCAAAAAGTCCAAAGGGGGGGGGGACAGAATAATGATTCACAGATGTAAAAGAGACATACAGGCAGACACAAAGGCAGAGAAAAGGTGAGATGAGTATTGTGGAAGTGGTGGAATATGACCACATACAGTGGGGTGATGGCAGTTTGAAGTGAGAAGTCAACTGCTAGTTAATAGACTTTTTGCCGTTTAAGTATACGCTGCCCAGTGTGCACCACGTGGAGGTAAGTCTATCGCACATCCCATTTCCAAATCATATGTAATGGCATTTGATAGTATATAAAGGACCTCATTTTATTACCGTTTCTTTATATCGTGTAATTTCTTTTTTTATCATTTAGATATAATGCATCAGAATATTTCGCAGCGGTGGTAGCTCAATCTCGAGGCTGGCTGTCTGCCGTGCAGGAATGGGTGAGCGTATTTCTCACCTGCCTCTTCGCTTTTGTTGCTACAATTTGTCTCTGGAATGCTCTTGGTGATGTGCTCTGGTTCTTCGCCCTTCGCTTTAACATTATCAATCGGAAGGTCTTCTACGAGTCAGATATTACAAGTTGGCGAAAGCCAAATGCGCAGGAGTGTTACTAGAGTAGCCCACTTCTCTCTCTCACTCTCTCCTTCCTCATATAAAGCTCAGTGACTTCTCACTATATGCATTTATCGGGCCCTACCTCTTCTTCTCCCTCTAACTTCAAGCGCCGCTATTCCCTTTGCCATCTTCCACCATTTTATTTGTTTCTGTAGTAATGTTATTACGTAGTATTGATCTGGCCATCTATATCCGCTTTCATTTATGTACATTGAATTCACATTTAAAGAAGATTTAGCATCTGTGATTACTTTATTGTGTCTACGCTATCTTTGGAGTTAAAACCAAGGTATTCCTGTGGTCTGATTGAGATGACCATTTTGAAATCGAGTGGCTTCAGATAACTATTGAGAGAGGCAAATTTCACATGATTAGCAGAACGGAAGTTGAGATGAAATAACGGTGTGCTAATATTTACAATTAAGGGTGCGTGAATATGGAGTCATTTATATAAGGTGACAGTTATAATAAGCTAGATAGTGGCGGGATCTATTATTCGAATGTACACCAAATCTCATGGGCAGAATCCAATGCGCTTAAATGGACTCCGAGTGAATTAAAAAATTGCACTTTGACATTTCCACTTTATCATCTTCGGCATACTAACACAATAAAGAACATAACTCACGCTGGTGGTCTCAAATCACGTCCTGAAATGATTTCAGATGTTTGAAAAAATTTAAACTGTAGTATGTGGAAGTGCCTCTAATTCATCATAAGATAGAGAAAAGCAACCCTATTTTAGCTAGGGATTAGCAAAAGCTCTACGATCAGTCTCCACTTGCTATCGCTGTGCACCATCATTTATTATTGCATTGTAAAATTAAGATGTATAGCAATTGATTAAAATGCCAAATATTTTTTTTTATTTTTACTGTTGCCACGGATGGTGCCTAATAAGGTAAAGTAAACAGCGAAGTCGGCCTACTGAAGAATTACCTAACAATGAGCAAATAAATTCTTATGATACGATTTTGGCATGTTTTAATGATAGCTACTTATTCAAATGCCGAGACTTTTAATTTTCGCCAAAACCTGGCAGAAAATTGCAGCGCTTGAAACAAAATTTTGTGGTAGGCTACAGTTGAGGAATCTTCGTGGCAAATACCGGCTTGAGTTTTGAGAAATAAAAATCATTTTTGTTCTCAGAATCATTTTCAAATACAAAAACTTGACATAACTAATTGAACAGTGTTTAATAAGAGAAAGTAATTTTACTTAAGTAAATACATATATACATACAATATTTTTATAAAAAATATATAATAAAATTTGATGACATAATCACTGGCTTTAACTGAAATGAGTTCAAGTTTCAATTTCATAACAAAACATCTCAATCTTACTGAAATTTCAAAATTGTTACAGGGAAGATGAATATTGACTCTTGTTTAAAGACAAAATATTCCTCAACGAGATGATAAGCACATATGTATAATTCATTTTTGAATATAAAAGCTGTTTACAACATGTGTGATTATTAAAATAAAAATATAATATTTAAATTTATCGAACTATAATATATTCGTTGAATGCTTTTTTGCTATGTTGAATTGAATATAAAAAACGTGTTTGGTGTAGTTTGAATGCATCATGAAGAAAATCATTGAAATCAGATTAGTTGCTGCAAGCGGGGCATATTTGACTTCGAAGAAATGGTTAGTATACCGTTGTATCGTATAACATTGTATGACAACATTTAGTATACGCAATGCTTACGGCTTAATTTTAGTTGCTTAATGAAACTATTTAATTATTATTATTGTGTGATATGTTTGTTGCGCTTTCAAATAGTCTTTAGACGACTCTCACTCATTGTGAAATCATTTTGTTTTGATAACTTAAATAGTTAGAGGTGATTATATCATTATGGTTTTTATCTAGCATCGGAAGCAGTGGCCAAAGCCACAGCCACTGAGATTTTCCTTTTCAAATGGTCAATCTTCTGACTGCTGTGTTGGAAATGATCACTCTCCAGCTACGCCCACTGTGTCCTGTAATTTCCGTCCTCAAAATTTAATTACTGTCGCCGACAATCTCATTCTCGCTCCTTTTTCCAAGCGGGCTATTATTGATTTTGGTGATTCTCTGACCTTCGGAAAGCCATGTACTCGATATTTGCGTCTTATGAACCCTCGAAATTCTTCCATTAAGGTGAGTTTGGATTACCTTTTCCTAATAAGTAATTATATATCGTTTAAATTAAATAGTAAATTTTGTGACTTCATTTAAGCCTAGTAGCTATTGTTTTGATTATTCGACTTGAAGTTATTTGCATGTATTATAGTTATCTAAATTGGAATACGCTTTAATATTTTTTTCTTGGCAGTGCTCACCTTGACGGTCATTCTGAATGACATCCCAATTTTTATAATATGTTATAATATCGACATCAGTCAGACGAGTGCACTGTAACGATATGTTCCCTCCACAATGCTCTTATCCTTGGAGCCCGAATTCTTACTACGATTAAATTTTAAATCCGAACGTGCAGCTTTTCAGTCATCAATGCCCACTCATATTATGTTAACGGTATTCGTTTAAGAATAATAATTTTATAATTCCGTTAAACGCTACGCTCGCTATACGTCTGCTTTTTCTATCCTATGGGGACGGTTTGACTAATTCTGGGAGCCTATCCGCGCTAGGATTCTTTGCCATGCAGTTTATTGGGGATAAGTCAACTCTTAATTGTGGTTGCTAAATTGTGGTGATTAGAGATCGTCTCTGTTGTAGCCATCGATTATAGTTTACTTTTTTATTTGAAGAAGCAGGTCATCTGCGTATTCGACACTCCAGATGGCTTCCGGCTTGTATCGTCACTTTTTTATTGGAACTCCTTAAAATGAGCTGAAATATTAAACTGTGTGCCAAGGTAGTTTGAGCATTATGACAGAAGCTATTATTGGCAAATAGAGTTCCGATATGGTTAGCTCATTTGGTGTTTATATTTGGAGTTAAACCGAACCATGTATACTTTTCAAAATTGCGTTTTAAAAATAATGAAGACCCCGTCGATGGGGGTTACGAGCTTCATTTGCTAGTTGTGTATTTACATTCGTTATTATTAGAAGTATGCTCCCGAATAATTAAACTAGAACAGTGTTCTAACTAACAATATGTGCCTGCCTCTGAGAATGAAGTTCTACGTTCACCAATGTTTTCTTAATTACGATTTATTGTTTAAAAACTGACAAAGTTTCATACCTTTATATCCTAGAGTCGTTTCGTTGTTAATATTTCGTGAACTGCCTTTTCCTTTTCAGGTTCAGTGTAAGCGCTATCCCACAAGCGATGAGTTCGCCCTTCACTGGCTTTTGACATCTCAAGATGTATTAGAAAATCTTTCCGATCCGAAGAACGAAGCTCTCATAGACCCTGAGTCTCCTGTCACAAATCTTGTCACCACGCCGTCTCTTGAATTGGCTCATCATGCTGAATGTCTCCTTCGAATTGTATGGACTCCCAAACCACCACCTTTTCCAAGTCTGCTGGACGCCAAAGTCACTAGTATGCAGGCGCATTTTTCTAATCTTCGCCATACTCTTCAATTCACACTTGGAGGAGGAGGTTTAATTGTGGAGGCGAACATTGTTGCTTCGACTATTAAGCAGCCTATACCTAGACGACCTCGTGCTTCATGGGCCCTTTGTGAAGAGAATCAGAAACGTCAGCCACGTGCATCGTCATCCGGTCTGCGTATTCTGGGTTGGTTTCCCTTTCGAACCTCTTCTATTTCCATTTTTATTTTCTATAACCGATGTCTTTTTTATTCATTGATTTGCACAGCGGCCCACTTGGCAAGCAAAGAGAAGCGCCTTTCACAATCTCTGGATCGATTGCATCTAGATTCTTCTCTTCTAGATGAGGAGGTTGAATTTCAGACACCCAAAAAGTCCATTTCTACCGCAAACGATCTTAATCGATCACCGGGAGACGAGATTGCGACAGCCTTTATCACACCAGCACTGCTTTCACCGGTGGTTAAACAAGGTTCGTTTAAGAAATGATGATGATGGGTCTATTTTAAGCACTAGCTTTAGAAATGACTTCAATGCCAACCGACTATCGCTCTTTTTTCTTAGTTAACTTTGTGCTAATTTGTGCGAATATAAGTAGCATGCAATTCTGTTAGATCACTGTCGCTTGACGTTTTTTTCCAAATTTCTAACTCGAATCGTCGTATTGAGCTTCGCGTCTTTTCAACCATTAAATCTTATCTCTATATTGCAAGTTGAAATAAGTTTCGTCTACTGAACTAAATAAACAATTCATGATTAGTGATGAAATCTATCCGTAAGTTCCGTTTCTCGGTTTCCGGAAGGGATCCTTTGTTCCAGCTTTTTGCACACAATATTTATTTCAAATGGCAGGCGTTATGATAGCTATTATTAGCCATTTAGCTGACTTCGGGCTTCACAGAAGGAGGGTTCATCAAAGTATCACAAAGTCGAGGGGTGGGGATCAGAAGAGCGATTCACAGATGTAAAAGAAGCAGACACACAAAGGTAGAGAGAGGTAAGATGAGTACTGTGAAGGGGTCGAATATGACAAGCAGTCGGGCCATAGTAGTTTGAAGTGAGAGGTCAACTGCAGGTTAATAGACTTTTTTGCCGTCTGATGAGTATACGTTGCCCAGGGTGCACCACGTGGAGGTAAGTCTATTGTGCACCCCTCGCACACAATATCTAACTATACTAAAGCATTCAAACGAACTTCACGCTGGGCCACACAGAGCTGGCAATGGCCAACTTTCATGTCTGCGAATTCGTGGGGGGTCATGGGATCGATTCTCATTAGTGCCATGCCCAGTGCACAAGTTGAAAGCCTGTCTGTCTGCCAACAGAAAAGTGATCGGATAAGTTTCTCACCACATCGTTTGGTGTCGTTAACGTTGCTCTTAATGAGCGTGGAGATTATTTTTATTTCTATGTTGCTCTCCTACTATCATGATTAAGAGTTGATATTTTGGAGAATTAGTGTCGGGTAAAATATTTCGGTTGTTCAAAATCCTCTACTCTGCCTCCTATCGATTGAAGTAGTTCACTCCACCACTTTGTTCTTCTATGCCTTTTATGTTTTCTTTGTAAAACGTAAGGAATTTATGCCAAGTTCTTTTATCGTAAACAGGTTCCAATGTTCTTTACACTGCGAATAAGACAACTTCTGCAAAAGTTCCCGAAAATGTTTTCGGTTGGGATGCGTCGGCCGCTCTTTCAGAAGCTAACGAATTGGGTTTCACCCGATGGTTGAACCACCTTTTCACCTCTGGGCACGCGACTCGTTCCACCATTTCAAAGTCCTCCCACCAAGATGATCCTGAGAAAGATCTCTTAGATCTCCTCCAGACTCCTAACTTTTCGGCTCCTGGACATCGAATTGAACGTGAGATCGATTCTGGAAAACTGGTCGTTAATAACGATTTAAACTTCAAATTAGATAAGGGACTTCAGCTACGAACGGTGGAACTCTTCACATCTCATTACTCACCGATATGGTTGACCCCCTGTGTTGACGTTCTCTCGAAATTCGTCCATCTTCCTGAAGACCAACTTAAACTCCCGGCTAAATCTACGGCTATGACGAAACGTGTCTATCGGTACCTCTTTGCGGATGTTTCTCCTTTAAAGACAAAAAGTTCGCAATCTAGTGGAAAGCATTTGTCTAAAACATGGCAAAATCAAGGTTTGGGATTACTGATGTTCTAGTTTAATTTTGAGAAATGAGCAATTTCGGTATCAACATTTCCACTTTCCACCGTTTTAGTTACTGAACACTATAATCGTCAAATTGTGAAGCGCTGTTTAACTCTCATTTGGCTATTGGATCAGGCAAAACTAAGGAAGATCCGTCGATTTGATCCCTGCTTATTTAATCTCTCCGCTCCTGCTAAGGTGCATTTACTTAATTGTAATACAATTATTCGTAGTATAGAAGCTCAAATTTTACCAATTTTTTCTTGTTTCAGTCTTCTACAGCTGTATGCCTCACACTGGGACGAAATTACCTAACTCGGGAGTCAAACTTACCGCGTAGTCTTTCAAATCTTGGGGCAAATTTATCAGTTATTCAAACTCCGTTGGATGAATTTGATTATACCGTCACAAATCTTGCTATTGACTTACGAGATGGTCTGCGCTTGGTGTAAGTCACTCATTTTAAAAAGAATTTTCTACTGAAAAAAAATAAGTAGCAACGTATTCTCGATTTTAGCAAATTGGCTGATTTATTGTTGGTTGATTCACCAAGCATCTTCCCGTCCCACAATAACAGTCTGATAAGCTTGGTACGTTTTCCAGCCATCAGTCGTTTGCAAAAAATTCATAATGTACGACTGGCTCTCTCTGCCTTTGAGAAAATTGTTGGCCAAAAACATCTGTACACAGCAGCCGGTAAACCAATCTCTGAGAGGGATATTGTGGATGGTCATCGATCAAAAACCCTTTCTCTTCTTTGGTTTATCCTGTTACGATTCCAAGTTACAGCTTTACTCAATCCACCGGCCTTACGCGGTGAAATCTCTCGTCTTATTGATTCTACACGAACCACGTCGGCTAACAAGGTGCTACTGATGTCTCTTCGAAGAGAAGTAGATACCCTACTGTCAAATTCTTCTGCATTTGGTGTGGACACACATGACCCTCTCGTCGAGATGGAGAATAACCAGAGAATTTTGTTTCTTTGGGTCAGAGCGGTTATGAGCGCAGGTGGCTACAGTAACGTCAATGTAAGGGGAAATGTGTTTGCATGTTTCTATTTACTCTTGTTATAACCCGGTATAATCAGTTGAAGGGCGGGCGTAAAAGGCTTAGTTGTTTTTGTTTATAGTTGAGCTGATATTTTGGTCAAATCCATAATGGCTGCATCAATTTTGCTTTCTTTCATGGATCGATTTGTTATAATTATATTTTCCGTGTGTTATCTATCTTGAAGTGCTATTTTTCTTTACAGTTTAGAGCAAATATTTGAGTGAATTCGAAGTTATACACTTTGCATGGTCTTAACTGCTTTTCAGGTTGAAAATTTTGATCAATCATTTGGAGATGGTCGTATCTTCTGCTATATTCTTCACTACTATCTTCCTATTCTTCTTCCAAAGCGATTGGTGCGGATCGTAACAACGCAAACTGCTAAATCCTTCCCCGGGATTCCGCTGAATTTCTTGCTTCGCAATAATTCTTTCAATTTGCAACTGTTTCAACAGAGAGTAGGTCATTCAACTCTTGTGTGGAATATAACCGCTCATTTGTATTTGAGTGGTTGGCTAAATGGCCGAACGGGTGGATCTGAGGATTACGATCTTCTCTTAGAGATAAGTCTTGAAGGGATCAGTTAAATAGCATGTGTCAGTGTCATGTTATTTATTGAGGTTAACTTGGACGAGACAACGTTCATTCCTACCTATTTCTTAGTTACTCCCTTCTAAGTCAACTAATGGACTAGTGATATATATCATTACTTATTTATATCAATTGGCAGGCGTTTTGATGGTTATCATTAGCCCTTTAGTTGACTTCAGGCTTCACAGAGAGGAGGAGGAACATCAAATTGAAAAAAGGTGAGAGGGGAAGGGGGAACAGAAGGGTGTTTCAAAGACGAAAGTAGAAAAAAGGTGAGGTGAATACTATGGAAGTAGACGAATATGACATACAGTGGGGTGATGGTAGTTTGAAGTCAGAAGTCAACTGCCGGTTTATAGACTTTTTTGTCGTATGAGTATACGTTGCTCAGGGTGCACCAAGTGGAAGTAAGGCTATCGCACACCCCATGATATATATCATAAAGCCTGCCAGTTGAAATACTAATAATATTTACTCTTTTAACAAGTAAATTGGCCTTTGCCTTGACTGAGATTGGATGATAATCAGAAATGGTGCATTTATAATCGTTTTGATTCCTTACATTTGGGGGGGGGGCCTTTTTTACGATACCATGGTAAGCATTCATGCGGATTCTCCTGGAACTGTGAGAAGAACTGCTAAGTGTAGCAATTTGATTGTGTTTCAGCTCTCTCAATTAGCGGACGTCCCATCTCTTATCAACATCGGTACAAAACAAGCAACCGTCTCTGTCCCTGT